AATATTTCAGCCCAGCCCTCGACTATACACCAAACAAAGTGTCAGATTTGCAAAAAGTTGTTTTGGGTGAGGTGTGGAGAAACGAGAGGCTGTCTAGGTTCTAATAAAGCAAAAGTAATCCAATATTCTTATCTGGTAGTTTACGTTTTTGTTTGGCCATCATGGCTTAACTGAAAGCCAAGAAAAGATCTTGTATTTTGCTTTAACCTGATGGATTTACTCAGCCATTCCCTTTAAAAAATAACTTAAGCACAAACAAGCTCATAGACTCTATTCTTATAAAAACGTCCATGTTTATTATAGACTGTTTTGAAACTACAGTATTGATAATGATATTTACAAAAATTTCTGTGATCCACTTGACATTTCTGCTGTTTTCCTCCCTATTCTTGCTACATAATCAAAACCACGCTTTACATACGATTTTGTTTCCTGTGTTTTGCACTTAACAAATGAACAATATGAAATCTTCCCCCATGTTATTTATAACTCTGGGTAAAGATCAATTTTAGTGGTTCCCTAAAGTTCCATTGTGTAGCTGTGCCAGCATTTTGTTTACAGTTCTCATACTGTTAGAAATTAAAATTCTTTTGCTATTTTAAAAGTTAAATTTTTTTATCATATATAATAATGCAGGGGAAATTATACTTTGGTTTCATATTATTTAAGATTTATAAACAGCATTATTGGATCAAAGAGTATGAATATTTTTAAGAGTTGCATATGAGCCAAGTTATATTTTTCAACTACAATATATTAAGACACTTTCATGTAATGAGTGTCATTATTTAGAAAAACCTTTGCTGAGTTCACTTGTGAAAAATCATTATTTTAATTTGCATGTCTTTGATTCTTATGAGGGTCAGTATTTTTCTGGGAATATGTTGAGTCATTTGGTTGTTTATGTGGAAAAATGCATATTAATTCCTGCCTCACACATAACTCAGTACTAGATTAATGAAGGACTTACATGTGAATAGCACAACTTCAGTACTTTTATAGGAAATACAGGGGAACATATGCTTTCAAGTGTCAGAGGATTTCTTAAGACAATAGAAGGGACAAGCAATAAAAGATGACTGACAAATTTGACTAAAATAAAATTAGGAACTTCTGTTCCTCAAGATACCACAAAAAGAATAAAATGTGAAGACACAAGTACCATCTATTGGGTTGTCGGGAAAGTCATGACGCATTTTTGCATTGAAAAACAGAAAAATACGTCATGACTTTCCCGACGACCCAATATATAGCTGGAGAAAAAGGAAAGTGGGTCTGTGTGAGTGAACTGCTGTGGAGTGATTTCCAGGAGTCTGAAATGTACCTGCCGTATCGGAAGTTTTTTTGTTCTACATATTTAACCATGCATTTACATCATTTTTCCACAATAAGAAAAAAAGGAAAATGTTGAGTGAAAGCCAGATGCCTTTACATCCGCAGCACAAGGTCTGAGCGGCCCGGTTTCCTACCGTCTCGCCAACACCAGGTCTGGCACTCTAGTTGGTGTGTCGTGGGGTCTCACTGTGCTTTAGATTTACATTTTCCCGATGACCAGTACTTACTGTCAAGTCCCTTTTCATGTGCTCAGTAGTCATTTGTCTTTTTTGGTAAAAAGTCTATTCAAGTCTTTTGCCCGTTTAAAAATCAGGTTATTTGCCTTACAATTCAGTTGTAAGAGCTCCTTATGTTCTGGACACACATCCTTTATCAGATATACGATATGCAGATATTCCCTCCCAGTCTGTGGCTTGTCTTTTATTGATGCAGTTTGGAGCACAAAAGGGTACAATTGGAATGAAGTCCCCAAATTCAGTGGCTTTCGTGAGTGAGTTTCTCAGTTGATGCTGTTCATCTCCAGAGTGCTGACACGGTTGCTTTGGAGAGTTTGGCCCAGCTTGAGAGTTACGTTTTGCAAAGAGGATTTGTCAGCCTCCCTCCTGGCTCCATCACACCACAGTGACTCCCCCTTAGTACATACACGTCCCTTTTCCGCTTTTCACACGAGGAAACTGAGGCATGGGTGCCCACGGTCACTGGGAAATGGTGGCTGTGGTTTGAACTCAGGCAGTGTGGCCCCAGGATCTGTGCTCTGAGTCACTGACTCGGTCCTCCCAGGCCCCATGTTATGGGAACACAGTCAGAGGAACCTGTCGTTTCGGGCCGCGTGCCAAGGGGGCCGCACTGTGTCTGTTAGCAGCTTCCTTCGTGACTTTGGGCAGATCATTGAACTCCTGAGGTTTAATTTGCTCTTTAAAATGCAGATAAAGATAGTTCACTCCAAGTAGAGTTCTTGGGAGGTTTCCAGAAGATGAACGTGCATTTTTTTCGTGTGTACGTAGTGATGCCTGCATGGTGGTGGCTGTGGTGGTATTAGTTACAGAAGTCGTAGCAGCAGGGACAGGACGCCTCCCCCCTTCCTGGTGTGACTTAGGCATCGCCTCTGAATGATGGCAGCAGCCTAAGCATCTTCTTTTACAGCCCTTCTCATAGCCTTCTGCAAATGTTTGCTTACTTATATTCTGTCCTAGCATCTAAGGTCCTTGAGGTTAGTATACGGCCTTTATCTTTCATGCCTGTTTTTACTGTGGCTTTGCAGCTGACTCCTTGTACTTTTCAAGGAGCCTGAGTGTTTTATCAGTGTCAGACAAGGATGTGACCTGGAGTGATAAATAAGACAGGGAGGGAGGCCAACAGTGGGCTTAAGTGAAGGAAACGTGCAGTCGGAGTGGGTGATGAGAACACTTGCTGTGTGGGGTGACCTGGATGCCAAGGTGTTTGGCTGGATAAGGCGTTCATCTCTGGAGCCCACAGGGAGCGGAGCCACCAGAAGAGCCCGGGGTGTGGAAGGGAAGACGGAACTATGAGTGCGTGAGGTCCATGGAGTGCGGCAGGTGTGGGCGGCCGACTTGACGTCAGATCAGAAGCTGGAAGAAGGGCGAACAGTTTGGGAAGGTTCAGGAGGAAGGATTAAGGGGAGCGGTGGAGACCTTCGACCCTGAGGGCACCAGAGCCCAGTTTTTCATGGTTCCAGGTGGCTGAATGTGAAACAGACTCATTCTTGTACCTGGACTGCCTAGTTAGTAAGTGTGGGTGGGTGGTGGTTTTGTAGTGAAGTGAAACTTGTTCAGTGGTTACAGGAAGACCTAATAGAGAAAATACGTGCGTGTCTACTGGCCCCCTGATCCCTTTTCCTGCTCCCTGGAGGTGTAATCACCAATATTTGGATATTCTTTGAGACATTTACTCTATATATTTAGGCATACAAACATATGTATACAAATGGGACCATATTTGCATTCTGTTTTTAGCTTGCCTTTTTCTAATAATGTATCTTGGACCTCTTTCTTTATCTGCATAATATTTCATTGTATTGATGGATTATATTGGGTCGTCAGAAAAGTCATGATGCATTTTTGCAATGCAAAACATAGAAAAAATATGTCACGATTTTTTTGACAACCCAATAGCTTACTAAACTGGACCACTGGTTTTTGATGTGTATTATTATTGTCATTTCCTAATACATGAGTAGTTTGTTTCCGGAATAAATTATGCTCGCACACCAAGGTATTACTGTATTAGGTTAATTCCACATTTTTATCAAAATGAATTATGCAGTAAAAGTCTGGGGTAGTGATTAAGTGGGCTCATTTTATAGAATCAGTTGTGTGATATTAGGCCAGAGCATTCACCCGTTCCTCAGTTTCCCCATCTATACAGTGGGACTGTTACTGGTGTTACTACTGCTGTTTGCCACACGCACCTACAGAGCCTAATACAGACATCACACATATGAACACATTTACACCTCACAACTAGCTTGAGTGATCGATACTGTTAGTTCTGAGATCACTCAGCTGTTACACGGTGGCCCTGGGATACACAGGGACTGCTGTGTTCTGGTTGCAGAGGCGCTGCCTCTGTTACGCTTCTTCGTGTGTGGTACTGAGGCCCGGGTTGTCAGGATGGAATGAGACGCGCTGTGTTCAGGTGGCTGAAGCTGAGGCCCAGCACCCTCTTGGCCAGCGTGGCGTCTCTTTTTACCAGTGGTAGGCCAGTACTGGTAAGCGATCGAGCAGTATTAGCCTTTTTAATAAAATTAATGCTGTAGGCACATCGTTTTCCGTATGTCCTTGTTTTGACGTGAGTATATATCCAAAAGGCAAGTTCCTAGTAGCGTAATTACTTGGTTAAAACATATGAATTTAAAATTTTAATAAGTATTTTCAAATAATCCTCCACAAATTGTCTCTATTTACACACTTCAGCGATTAGTTATGAGTGCCCAGTCCCTCATACCCATGCCAGCATTGCTACTGATTTAACTTTTCAACTCATAGGCTAAAGATAATATCTTGTTTTGTTCTCAGTGGCTTTTTAAAGTTGGGGTACAGTTTCCATACAGTGACGCTCACCCTTTCTAGCGTACTGCCTGTTGAGTTTATCCAAGCGCATTCAATCATGCAACCACCACCACACCCAAGACTGAGAACAGTTCCCGTCACCCCCAAATTCTTTTGATTTCTGTGCGATTCACAAGTCGAGAATCGAGTGTTTATTGGCCACTTGAATTAGCTTTCTTCCTCTCTTGCTTGTTCTCTTTCTTCCTTCTGTCATTCTTTTTTTGTGGACTGTTCCTGTATTTGCCTATTTGCTTTTAGGATTGTGTGCCTTTCTCACTGATTTCTAAGACATAGTCTATGTTACAGAAATTCGTTTTTTGTCATAGGTATTTGCAGTTTTTCTCCAGTTTATCTTTTGGCTTTATGTCATTTTTTGGCTATCTAGAAATTTATAAATTTTGCATTGTTAAACTTACTGATCTTTTCCTGCATGGATTCAGGGTTTTATGTTAAGCATAGAAAGGCTTTTTGCAGTGAAAGATTTTTTTTTTAATATATTTTTTCCAACTTTTAAAAATGTTAGCATAGTTGATCCTCCTGGAATTTATTTTCATGTAAGACGTAAAGTAAAAGCCTTGCTTTCTCTTCCACCCCCAGTGCTTATCCGCGGCACGTGTCATCGTTTCCTGAACAGCCCCTCTTCCCTGCGCTCGTTCAGCGTGTCCCCTCAGTCACGGACGCTGTGGACATGCGTCTCGGCCTCTTGCTTGACTTTCTAGTCGCTTTCCCTCCAGTTTTAAGCTGGTACAGTATGTTTCAATGTCTTGTACAGCTCATGGCCCCTTATTTGTGCTTTAGAATTTTTTTTTCTCTTTTCATTGTTTATATGTCAAAAGTAGCTTCACTATCATTTTGTCAGCTTTTTTGCAAAACCATTGTTGATGTTTTATTGGGATCTTGAGTTTATATTTGACATAGTTTATATTTTGTTATATGTTTTATCTAAGAGCATTTTTTCTCCCTCACCCTCTCCCTCTCTCTGCACACACACACACACACACACACACACACACACACACACACACACACACGCACACGATGATCCTCTGAGCAGTTTTAAAGTTTTTCATGTTTAAGCTTTTGAACATTTTTAAATTCAGTTTTTCTCGAAACTGTTATAAATAGAATGTCTTTTATTATCGTTTCTTACCAGCTTTTTAAAAAGAATTCCTAGTGATTTTTACCTGTACATCTTATAACCGGGTACTTGACCAGATTCTTTCTCTCTTTTTTCCTCCCTGATATTTGTTCAGTTACATGACAGTTATGTCTCCTCCTTTCAATATTTATACTTATTTCTTACTCGTGTCTAATTAACTGGCTCGTATGTTGAAAATAATACTAATTAATAGTATTGATAATTGGCATCCCTGTTGCTGGTTTTCAGCATTTTTTTCATTATTCATGGCTCTTAATTTTGTTACATGTGTCATCTGTTTTACAGTTTGGGGGCGGGGGTTAAGAATTGATGTTTGAGTTTTTGTGGTGTGTGGGAGCTATGACCGTACAATTTTACTTTTCTGATCTCTGATGATAAATTATATGACTAAGTATATAAATATACGGCCATGCTGGCAACCCCAGGATGCACCTGGAATTGTTTCCCCACCACTGTGATTTCTAGTTTGGCACTTCTTTTAAGTAGAGTTAGAAGTTAATCACATTTGCAAAGCTATCTTTGTACAAAGGCTTAGGTGGTGGTGGTGGTTTTCTTCTTTTTTTTTTAAAGATTTTTATTGGGGGATTGGGGGGATGGGAACAGCGGTGGGGAATTGGGGGAAGGGGAACAGACAAGTTGCTGTCCTTTTGTTCTTCAGTCTAGTTGTGGAGGATGTTGCTTCACTGGCCCAAGTTGGCACCATCGTTGCGCTCTTCCCGGGCGAGGCAGATCAGTCGCCGGCTTCTGGACGGCCGCTCACTGTGGCTGCTGGCCGCTCACGCTGGCTGCTGGCTACACACGGTAGCCCATGGCAGCCCACTGCAGCAGGGGCTGCAGCCTACGCCATTCCCAGTGACTCACGGCAGCCCAGCTCCAGGTTGAGCTGTTGTTCAGCATCTTAGCTGTAGAGGGCAGTGTCACTGGCCCTCATATGTGGGATCCGAACCGGGGCCCTCTGGCGTCCCAAGCGAGTTCTTAACCAACGCCCACTTGGCCGGCCCGGTTTTCTTCTTTTAAGTAATGTTTTTCTAGTCTTTTAGAGTGATTTTACCACACCTAATTCCACAGAAAATTTTTTAGCCATCTGCATTTATTTGGCGTTTACAAATCAATTAACTGTTTTTGTAGCAAGAACTTAAAAAATATATACTTACTTGTTTGCATGTTTAAATCATGCCATAAGTTTAGAAAAATTTGGATGAGCACCAGCCATGTCCAGGAACTGTTCTAGGTACTGAGGATATAACAAGTGACTGAGACCGATGATGTTTCTCATCTCCAGCAGAATACAGCAGCATATAATTCAGCTGATAAACTAAGGAAATCACAGGCATGCTAAATGAGAGAATAGCCAATAGAGATTTTGAGGTATTTTAGAACTTTCTGAGACAATTGGTTTTAGTTGTCATTTCCATATATGATTGGATTTTTTAACCAAATCTGAAAATCTGTTTTTTCCCCTAATAGTTTATTCCATTCATATTTATTGGTATGACAAACATTGGGACCGAAATGCGATCCTATTTCAGGTCATGTGGGCCATTGCCTCTCTCTTCTTTTTCATTACAGAGTCTGCACCTTTCCCTCCTTTCTACTTTTTTTCTGGAAAGGCTTTAGTATCTGTTCTTTATTTTTCCCTTTTTATAACGGTAATGGCAATAGTGTCCTGGCAGCTTTGGGGGCAGTGGAGTAGGATCCAAAGAACTGAACGGGGAGGGTGTGAACCAGGGCTCCAGACGGGCCCAGAAACTGACAGTGCGACTGTTCCTGTGGAGACTCATGGCAGCACCTCTCGCTGACTCTATACGGACGCTGTTCTCACATGAAAAGTCTTTCTTTTTGCTCTCTTAAACTGTCTTCACGGAATATTTAAGCCAGCAGTTTTCAAAGTGTGGTGTGTGGGTCCTCCTTAATGCTAAAATATAACCATACTAAAACATTATTTGCTTTTTCCACAGTATTGACATTTTCACTGAGGGTACAAAAGCAGTGAGGGCTAAAATTCATGGTGCCTTACCCCTAGGAAGGCATCAGCTGTCATAGTGTTAAATTTCCATGGTAGTCATGTACTCTTTACCTCCCGGCACTTGTAGTAAAAACAGCATTCCAGTTACATTTAAGAATGTCATTGATGAAGCTGTAAAAATTATTTATTGTATTAAATCTTGACCCTGGGTACACCTCTTTTCGAATCTTTATGAAGAAATGGAAGTATGTAGAACGCACTTACTCCCACCAACTAAAGAAGGCTGTCTCAAGGGGGAGCTGTGTCCTTGAGTTGCTAGCTGAGATAGCTACTTTTTCAGGAAGCACTGCTTTTACCTAAAGGAACAATTGACAAACTATAGTTGTTCAGCTTGAGTTTTCAGTAGTTATTTTCTCATAAATGAGCAAAGTACGCCTGTTACTTCACTGACAGTAAAGATGCCAACGATAAACTTAAGCTTTCAAGCAAAAACTAGGATTGTGGAAAACTCGAATCTACCACTGTTAGCTGAACTACTTCCCAATTTTAATGAGATCAGTGGTGATATAATAAGGATAAATTTTTCATATTGTATAATGAAATAACTATGTGCTGTTCCAGAAACAGGCATGCAGAAAAGATGCACTCAAAAGTGCAAGCTAGACCCCCGGATTTAAAGTAATAGAGTAAAATTCTTAATATGGTCTCCGATTTCTCAGTGCAACTAACTTCTAAGAAACTTACTTGTTGATTTTTGCTACGGTATTACAGAAGAATGCCCACAGTCATGTGAAAAGGTTATTACACAAAACCCCTCTCCAGTTCCTGGCTGTACATCTGCAGGGGGTTGAATTGTCTTCTTGTGTTTTAACTGAAGCAACATATTGGAACAGAATGAATACAGGGGTAGATGTGAGCATCCAGCTGTCTTCCGTCAGACAGAAAAAAGATGTACAAGGATGTAAAACACTACCACTTCGCATGGTGAATTTTTACTGTTTGAGAAAATAATTCATTTTTCATGAAAATATTATGTTAACGTGTAATGAGTATATTGTCATTTTTAAATGAATTATCAATTAAATATTTTTGTCTTCTAAATGAAATTAGATTTCATTTCTAATAGGGTAAATTTCACTAGATATAGCTCACTTAGATCTTTCTGTGGTCTTCAGCCATTTGTAAGAGGTTAAGGGGTGCCGAGTCCAGAAAGTTTGGGAACCACTGATTAAGCAGTAGACTGCCCAGCAGGCAGCTTGTTACAGGGGAGGAATGCGAGCTTTGGCGACAGCAACCAGGTTCAGATTCTGGAATTGCTGTTTCCTAATGGCAAATTAATTAACTTTGTTGGGCAGATTTTATTCGCTGAGACCCAGTTTCCTCATTGTAAAATGATAATAATCAAGCTGTTTTATTTGTTGTAAGTTAAGTAGTTTGATGTTGTCTTTTAATGTTTTCATTAGGTGTTACGTTGACAGGCACGACTCCATCCAATCATTTCTTAAAAAGGAGGTGTTGAAATTACTTGAAGAGGTTACCTCCTGCCCATATGAATACAATATTCATGTCTAAACCTTTCCTTTGAACCTTTATACACATTTTCAAGTATATGTGTAAACTTAAAATTTTACAATTAGAACATTTACTTAGGCATGACGAGACAGATGGTAATCCTATAAAAAGATGGCATATATTTTTGGACGCGCAACAGAAAAACATACTCTTAAAAATTCCAGAGTAATCTTTGCCTAGAAAATGAAGGGAAGAGATAGGGGACCATATGGCCTAATGGAACTTTTTATAGTTTCTAAGGTCTAGAGTTGGATTTTGTTTATTTAATGTTAGTATTGAGTTGCATGTGGATTGGTAGTTGAAAAAGGAATAATTACCCAGTAGATAATTACCAGGTACTTTTCCTGTGGTTATCAATCTCTTGTTTTCTATGAAATGGATACAGTAGTGGGTGCAGCACCATGTGGACCCCGGGTTTAGCGAGGTTTGTTTGATGTGAATTCTCACTAAGCTGCCTGTCATTGTGGCACAGTGTTCTTCTCATTCAGTTCACTCCATTTTCATTCAGCACGTGCTTGTTTACTGATGACCTTCTCTGGGCCAGGTATGAGCTAGGTGGTGGGGATGAAATGTGGAGGAGAAAAATTGACACAGTTTCTGATGTCACATAGATTATAGTCTGCTGGGATGCTTGGCATTAGTCAAATAATGATAGACGAGTCAAGCATACTGACCGAGAAAGTTCTAGGCAGGGTCCGCAGGCTTCTCAGAGCTTGGGGCTGGGGAGTTCCACCTGCGCAGGAAGAGCCGGGTGTGGCCGGGGAGGCAGCAACAGGTGAGCTGAGGTCTAAAGACAGTCAGAGAAAAGAATGCAGAAGAACACATTCCAGACCAAAGGGCCAGCACGTTAAAAAGTGCAGTGTTAGGAGAATAAGGTGAGTGCTTGCAGTGTGGCTGGAGCAGACATCACCAAGCAAGGAACAGGCAGAGCGGGGAGGACCTTACAGGCCATGTCAAGGCCTTTTATGACCTCATCCTAACCGAGGACAAGGTATTCCTCCAGGTGAGGTGGGGAGTGAGGGAGGTGGAGGTGGGCAGAGTGTCTCC